GTCGTAAGAGCCGATGGATTAAGGGTTTCGTCTGAAGTCCTAGTGCAATTGATGAGAAGCAAGAAACCAACAGCCTGGATACAGAAAAGCTAGATCTGTCAAACGGATGTGTACAGACAACTCAAGTTCTGGAACAAAAGTGAAATCCACAAGTGGACGAACAGCCAGAACTTTCCCCCGGAGTTTACAACCGGTGAAAGCGAAGAAAAAGAAGATGTAAAAGAACGAGACTGCTGTGCATATTGTGTGAAAACAAGATTAAAGGACCCTTGTCCGCGCCATCTGGCGTATTGGGTATATAGGGCTAGACCGCCAGCTGGTGGGTGATGTGGTAAGCATCACGACTTCAACCTTTACTTCCCAGGTCTGTATCTGGTACTCACTGAAGGCTTGGTCGACCTGAGAATAAATGTTATTTAAAAAAAAAAAAAAAGTCCGGCCGCCGTCAGACTCGAACCCACGACCTTCCTATCCGCAGGCGAGCGTTGGAAACAAGATTACACATGAAAAACTAAGGAGGAAAATCAGTGTTCAACATCGACACACGTCATCACAGGGAGAAGATGGAGATGGCTTGGACATGTTTGCTGAACGCCTGGTTACAATCTGGGAAGGACAGCTTTTGTTTGGACGGCGGCTGGAAGAGGTACAGATGGACGACCTAAGCAAACCTGCAGACGGAGAGAGAGAGAGAGAGAGAGAGAGAGAGAGAGAGAGAGAGAGGAGAGAGAGAGAGAGAGAGAGAGAGAAAGAGAGAGAGAGGGGGGGGGGAAAGAACCATGAAGGAATGTACCGACAGAGAAAGAAGCAGGCTGGCTCGGCAGTGGGGGTCAGTTGTGGGAGCCTTGTGTCTCAACAGAAACATCACGAGGACATAGAGAGAAAGCAAAGTGAAGCCTAGTCAACATAAGTTCGCGAAAGTGTAGTAAATTAAAGTTAACGAAAGGAAGTACACTGAGATGTAACGGAGTGTAATAAATTACAGTACAGTCAAGTAAAGTGAAGTAAGGCGAAGTGAAGTCAGTACATTACAGTAGCGTGTAGTCAAGTCAGGAAAGGTAAACTAAATTAAAGTGTAGTATATAAAAGTGTAGTCAATTAGGTGTAGTATATACAAGTGTAGTCAATTAGGTGTAGTATATAAAAGTGTTAAGGCAAACTAATGTACATAATTTTGCCTAGAAAACCCACAACAGCCACTGCTGGTGTTGGTTCTGCAACGTCCTGTAAAGGATACGCAACTAACATATACAAGTGTAGTCAGTTAAAGTGCAGTCTATGAAAATGTAGTCAATTAATGTGTAGTATGTAAAGATGAAGCCAATAAAAGTAAAATATGGTAACGGGTGGTAAAGGGTAATCAACTAAAGTTATGTGTGCTAAAATATTGTAAAGTGTGGTAACGTGTATTCTACTAAAGTTTTATGTGTTCAAGTGTTGCATAGTAAAGAGTAGTAAAGGAAAGTGTCGTAAAGTAAAGCGTAGTAAATTATAGTAAAGTGCAGACACATTTAGTAAAGTAACGCGTGAAAAGGGTAAGTAAAACATCGAGAGATAAACTGAAGCAAAGAAAATTCAGTTAAAATAAGATGAGTTAAAGTAAAATGAGAGAAAGTGAGTGAAAGTTAACTGAGTGAAAGGAAAGTGAGGTAAAATGAATTAAGATTAGGTGAGTGAAAGTAAACTAAGTGAAAGTAAAGGATCGAAAGTAGTGAGGTAGGGTGGGTGAAAGTAAAGTGAAAGTAAAGTGAGTGAAAGTGAAGTGAGTGAAAGTAAAGTGAGCTAAAGTGAAGTGAGGTAAAGTGAGTGAGAGTAAAGTGAAATGAAAGTAAAGTGAGTGACAGTAAAGTGAAGTGAATGTAAAGTGAGTGAAAGTGAAGTGAGGTAAAGTTAGTGAAAGCAATGTGAGGTAAAGTAAGTGAAAGTAGAGTGAGGTAAAATGAGAGTAAGTAAAGTGAGGTAAAGTGAGTGAAAGTAAAGTGAGGCAAAGCAAGCAAAAGTATAGAGGTAAAGTGAGGTAATGTGAGTGAAAGTAAAGTGAGGTAAAGTAAGCAAAAGTATAGTGAGGTAAAGTGAGGTAATGTGAGTGAAAGTAAAGTGAGGTAAAGCGATGTAAAGTGAGTGAAAAGGTAAAGTGTGGTAAAGTGAGTGAAAGAGAAGTTAGTTAAAATCAGGTAAATAGAATGAAAGTGAAGTGAGGTAAAGCGATGTAAAGTGAGTGAAAGTAAAGTGAGGTAAAGCGATGTAAAGTGAGTAAAAGAGAAGTTAGTTAAAATCAGGTAAATAGAATGAAAGTGAAGTGAGGTAAAGTGAGTGAAAGTAAAGTTTAGTAAGGTAGTTAAAAACTAAAGTGAGGTAAAGTGAAGCTAAGCGACGTGAGGTACAGTGAAGTAAACAGAATTGTCCACATTTATAGAACCTATTACAAATATCACGTTAAATAATACATTGTTTGCGTGGTTGCTGACCTGTTTCTTCTTGATTATTGAGATGCCGCCAATATTATATCAGCCGCTTTTACTTCCCATGACTTGTCCGGATAGCATGTTTTAGAAACGGTCTTTTTAGCCACGCAGTTCAATAAAGCACACACGCTTCATTATGGATTGGAACCCGCGGTAACTTAGCCACATGCAGACAGAAGCGACTGCGTCACTCGGCTCCCGCTGCAAGTGGTGCGTGTAATCAAGACCATGTGTAACGAGGTGTAGGCTTTAGAAGATCAGCTATTGGAGAACACAGCCGCCGGCCTGAAGCCCTGGCCACAGGACGTGAGCCGGCGACAGGTTCCATGAAGACTAAATGAACCGTAGCGGCCGCGGCAATGAATAATAGGCAACTGGGTGGATGTGTCGGAATGGCTCTAACCAGTGCTCCCTGTAGGTGTTGCTCTTTGATCTCCTGGGCTCAACGCTGATCCCCTCCCCCCCCGGCAGTAGCTTGTTGTGGTGCTTGTGCGTGTGTTTGCTGGTGTGTTTGTGTGCATGTGTCGACAACTATCCAAACCAATCATGGCAGTGACAGTAGCTTGTTGTGGTGCGTGTGCGTGTGTTTGTTGGTGTGTTTGTGTGCATGTGTCGACAACTATCCTAACCAATCATGGCAGTGACAGTAGCTTGTTGAGGTGCGTGTGCGTGTGTTTGTTGGTGTGTTTGTGTGCATGTGTCGACAACTATCCTAACCAATCATGACAGTGACAGTAGATGATGTTACGTAAGTCAGTACAAAAACATCTCAGGGGGAAAAATGTTCCTTCTTCCCATTTCAGTGGAAAAACAAAGAGGAGACCAGATAGCCATAACAAGCATGTCGTAAAAGGCGACAGAATAGAAATGATCTCTGTGAGGTAAGTATGTTACTGCTTGAGGGGCAAAGAACCAACAGTCCTCACACACACAAGCATATCCAAAGTATGGGCCGGGTAAAACAAGCTCTGGAACAAACCAAAGTCCAGAAGTTTACGAACAACCAGAGTTTTCCGGCGGAGTTCACAGCTGGTCAACGTTGAGTGGAAGAAGTGTGAAACAATTAAAGGAGACAACAAGAGGAGCTGGGTTGAACTCAATCCCAGAAATCTGGTTTCACAGAACAAGTTGCCAAGAACATTTGACTTCTCATATTGTATATTATTAGTGAGTAATCTATGTCTTGTATATCATCAGTGAGTGATCTATGTCTTGTATATCATCAGTGAGTGATCTATGTCTTGTATATCATTGTAGTCTGAACAGAATTTCTTTACTTCAGTGATTCTCTTCACAAGCTCTCTCAGTGTGTTTGTTATCTAGCGCCTACCTCTTGTCCCCAGCCTTTGATTGGCTGGAATGTGTTTACATCTGTCCCCAACCTTGGTATTACTGGAGCGGTGATAGTATACCATTTCTTGTGTTCTGCACAACCACCAGAATTGGAGCATTGTCCGTTATCTAATGTTGTTCACAGCTTGGGTGTGTCATTGCACGATTCTCTATACAATTTCTATCGTCTCTGAACATTGACTTGAAAACAGGAGTTTTTATATTGATTTATCATGTTATTTGAAACCGTAGCTTAGTAGTATCAACTGATACTGGATACAAGAGGCTGAAATGTGCAAATAAATGCGTGTGAATTTAGGTCGCTTGGTAAAATGATTGAATATTTTAAAAAACATTAATTAAAAAAAACAATCTGGGATGCTTGGAAGAGAAGAGACAGTATAAGAAGAAGTAGTCGTAGCAGAAGTACTAATAATTGTGGCAGTAGTAGTAATGGTAGTAGTAATAGTAGTAGTAGTAGTAGTAGTAATAGTAGTAGTAGTAGTTGTAGTAGTAGCAGCAACAACAGCATTAGTAGTATTTGAAGAAAGCGGCGACGAAGACATAAAAAAATAGGAGAAAAGAAGAAGAAGAAGAAGAAGAAGAAGAAGAAGAAGAAGAAGAAGAAGAAGAAGAAGAAGAAGAAGAAGAAGAAAAAGAAGAAGAAGAAGAAGAAGAAGAAGAAGAAGAAGAAGAAGAAGAAGAAGAAGAAGAAGAAGAAGAAGAAGAAGAAGAAGACGAAGAAGAAGAAGAAGAAGAAGAAGAAGAAGAAGAAGAAGAAGAAGAAGAAGAAGAAGAAGAAGAAGAAGAAGAAGAAGAAGAAGAAGAAGAAGAAGAAGAAGAAGAAGAAGAAGAAGAAGAAGAAGAAGAAGAAGAAGAAGAAGAAGAAGAAGAAGAAGAAGAAGAAGAAGAAGAAGAAAACAACAACAACAACAACAACAACAACAACAACAACAACAACAATAACAACTTCAACAACTGGAAAAGTATAACTCCACCCAGTGGTTTTCCAGAGAGCCGCAATGTGTTGATCCAGCCGCATGAGACCCGCAGGCCGTGTACTCTTGTCATCAGGATGTCGTGTTTACCGTCACTTTTCCTGAGCCACACCGTTTTATTCTCATATAACCAGCCACACAAAAGTGAAACTCACTGAAACGTGTTGACAAGCAACAACACACAAACACAACAAAAAATACTCGCCTACGATGGACATCCACGGATAAAACGAGGGCGTTTCATTATCCGACGCAACGCCTACAGCTTTGGTGCACGGAGACAGCGTGTCTGCCCTGTTCTGTGCTGGTATACAGTTCGCACCCACATGAGTGTCCATGTTTTCTCCAAATCGGATGCCCATGTTCATGTTCTGATAGAAGGGGCCTCGGGCCCCTTGCAAGCCCATCCTGAAGTCGTGATGGGCCCGATGATGTTGCTGCTGTAGTGCTTCCATACGACAGGCGTCGGCGTTGTAAGTGCCCATGTAGTATCTGGGATTTCTGTACCCGCCGCTGGGGCAAATCTCTGGAATGTTGAGAAAATGATCCATGTACCCCCCACTGTCCATGACGCCACCTAGGCCATGCATGACGTTGTCCTCACTTCCAACAGAGTTTCGGGAGTTTGGGGGCATCGCGTGTGCTCCCGTGTGTCTGAGGGGCAGATAGGAGCTCATGCTAAACCGCCTGTCCCTGTCTGCAGCAAAGCCCTCCTGGGTTAAAGAGGCGTCAACGCCCACCTGATTGAAGCCACGAACGTCGTTGCTATCTCCTTGAATTACTGTATTAGAATTATGTTGGCCGCCTAAGTTGTTACCGTTGAAACTACTGATGTTGCTGCTGTTGCTGCTGCTACTGCTGCTGCTGCTGTTGTTGTTGTTTACAGAGGGATGTTGAGAATTGTTGACAAATTTCTCCAGCCCAAATTGATTGCTCATGAAAATATTATCCGGAAGGCCGCGTTGAGAATAACCGAGGCCGTAAAATCCTGCAGACACCATGAAATCAGCGGCGAAATTACTTTTACACCGGCAAAATGATATCAAGGAAGACAGACTAGAAAGGAAGCGACCATAAACCCAGCAAGATATAGCCGCTTTACGTCTTTGGTCGGCTCGGAGGTTGTCAAGGGGGCGCCCCGCCGCCGAGAACACAGGTCGGGGAAGAAGGCCGAGCAACGATCTGGGAACCACGAGTTGTGACCAATCGGAGAGCTCTCCTGATGACCTTCTTTGACCCGACACCAAAACTCGCGCTCTGATAGGATAGAACGCTTGTCGAGGGCGTGGTTTTGAGACTGGGTGACAGGTCCAGGCAATGAATTTACGCGAGGAGAGAAATCTTGGAGCCAGGAGAATTCTCAACGGAGGAGGGAGAGGTCAGGTCTTAACTAGTCACTTATTGATTCTGTTTATTGCGGGCCTCGGAGGGGAACCGTGTCAATGGGAGGGGAACCGTGTCAATGGGAGGGGACGATGATTCCAAATGTTGCCAAGATTGAAAATATTTGTAGCGTCCGTTAGGAACGTGTCGGCAGATTAAAGGTTTGCACATAACTCCGGTAGTCCACAACTGGTTACAGCAAATATTAAAAGATAACTAGATAGAGAGGTATCGATTCACGCTCGTCCTAGACGCAGCAATGAGACATTTTGCTCTGAGAATCTTTCTGGTTGAATCACATCTTTTAGATAAACTTGAACGTGTCGTCTCCGTATTGACAGTCTACCAACCCCTATATGTTTGTGGTAATTATAAATGTCTTTCGCGGCCCATCAGCAACTGTCACTGCAGCTAGAAATCAACATCAGGATAAGTACAGCAGCAACAACACCCGGAATAACACACACACACACACACACACACACGAACTAACATACACACACACACACACACACACGAACTAACATACACATACACACACACGAACAAACACACACACAAACGAACGAACACACATACAGGGTTGGGAAAATACGAAGTTCGTGATAAAGAGGACCGTCTGTGCCTGTCAAGTATGTGTTGCCAATACTTTTCATTCAGACAGTCAAACGTGGTCGACTACAAATATCTTTATGTGCCATTGCTACGACTGACGTGACCAAGTGTTTGAACGTGACTTGCAGATAAGACGTGACTAGTTGTTACATACTTGTGTACGCTGTTTTACTGCGGCCAGTTTTGGCTACACTAAATGTAACTGTTTTGCGTGTGTGCGCGTGCGTGGTGTGCGCGTTCGTGCGTGTGTGTGTATGTGTATGTGTGTGTGTGTGCAGATATCTAAAACCGGCATTATACATTCGCCTTCTGTTTGCTGAAGTGTCGACTTGAAAAATGAACATTATGTCACAGCAGAGGTCGAGACCAATATATATATATATATATATATAAATGTTTATATATAAATGTTTATATATAAATGTTTATATATAAATGTTTATATATAAATGTTTATATATAAATGTTTATATATAAATGTTTATATATAAATGTTTATATATAAACCCCCCACTTACTGCGACTTCCATCTATTGTCCTGTCTCACATTGGACTAATCGGCCACCTTTGTACTTATAATCATTAATCATTACTACTTTGGATGAAATGTGGTATTTATCATTTCTGAAGGACGAACGGCACATATAAACCAAGTGAACAGTCTCTATTCATGCATACAAATGTACATATATATACATCAGCTTTATGCAAGAGTTAATGCACAAACAGACAGACACTCATTTTTTAATTGTTTCCATCATTGTCGTCTTCGTTATCACCATCATCATCATCCCATTGTGTGAAGATATGGCACATAGGGCTCGTCCACTCCTTTCTATCTGCTGCAGTCCTTTCAATTTCACGGATTGAGTCACAGGATATAAGTGACTCCTTGGGTGTGAAAGTAGATGAGGCGAGATGAACTGGCGAGAGACCGAGTTTCTTGCAGGCAGACCGTGATGAGAGCGACGTTCTGCAAAGGATCTGCTACATGATGATGGTGATGAGTCCAGTGCAGGACTAGAAAAAATATGCATGAGGGGCAGCAGCAGTTTGGATACATTATGAACGTTTGTTCCCATCAATAATTGTATGGAGGTTGAAACAAAACCCGCCCTCAGAAGCACTATTTTCCAAGTACAATATTTACGACAGCTTATCTAGGCCCCCCCCCCCCAACCGAACATAAACGTTTTCTATCCACAAGTTTTTACATTTAATATTATTTCAGATCTGTTATTGTATTTATTTGCTATTTAGCACAAAATGACAATATTATAAATAATAATAATACAAGTAATAACAATAATGTAACAGGGTCTCCACAGCTTGGCTCCCCCCACATCCTGCAAGACAGAAACTCGGTTCCTCTCCAGCTCTCCGGCCTCATTCGCTTTCCACCACATACATGGTGATCATTTTCCTACAGGTCGCTCCCTGCCCAATCTCCCCGTAACATTTATTTCACTGCTGTCTTTGGTTTTTCTAATCCACGGTTACGTTTGATAGGATCCCCAGACTTGTATCCGAGACAAGATGCTATTTACCAGCCAATCTTCCGTGATGCTTACAACCTTCAGGATGTCAGTATTCCTTTCTTCCCGGTCCTTGACATTTTAACCATCTTTCTGAACATTTCAGCCCTATAATAATAATAATGATGATCTCAATAACAACAAAAACACTAATTTGCATTGGGTACTAACTCAAGGCTAACGACCCACAAGACCACCAGTCCCTCAGTTCGTCAGTCTGTTTGTCTTCCTCCTCTGAACAGCTTTATAAACATGATGATAGAGATGATGACATTGAGGACGACAACGATGACCCGGTGTTGTGGAGCCGAGGACAAGCCGCTACATCTACTTCTATAGCAGACGTCAGTTGATCTGCAGCACATCTGCAGTGCAACAGTTCCCACTTCATGTCAGTGTTTGCAGTGACCGCCCCTGAATGCTACTTCCAGTGTAGACAGATGCAGGAAACATCTCACAGTTAGATCTCCACTGAATAAAACCATACAAATCACTAATTAACTTATCCCCCTCCCCACTTTAAAAAATACTGTGATTAAATACTATTTATTTTAATTTTTTTTTTTTTTAACTCTCAAAGGAACAACTGCAATAGTAGTAGTAGAAGCAATAGTAGTAGCAGTAGTAGCAGACGTAGTAGTAGTAGTGTAGTAGTAGTGGTAGTGGTGGTAGTAGTAATAGTATTAGTAGTAGTAGTAGTAGCAGTGGTGTAGTAGTAGCAGTCTACTAGTAGTAGTAGTAGTAGTAGCAGCAGTAGTGGTAGTAGTCGTGTAGTAGTAGTAGTGCTGTACTAGTAGTAGGGTAGTAGTAGTTAGGGTTAGTATTTAGTTAGTTAGGGTTAGTTAGTTAGTTAGGTTAGTAGTTAGTTAGTTAGTTAGTGTAGTAGGGTTAGGGTTAGTATAGTTATTTAGTTGGTTAGTTAGTTAGGTTTAGTTAGTTAGTTAGTTAGTTTAGTTAGTTAGTTAGTTAGTTAGTTAGTTAGTTAGTTAGTTAGTTAGTTAGTTAGGGTAGTTAGTTAGTTAGTTAGTTGGTTAGTGGGTTAGTTAGTTAGTTAGTTAGTTAGTTAGTTAGTTAGTTAGTTAGTTAGGTAGTTAGGTAGTTAGTTAGTTAGTTATTAGTTAGTTAGTTAGTTAGTTAGTTAGTTAGTTAGTTAGTTAGTTAGTTAGTTGGTTAGGTAGTTAGTTAGTTAGTTAGTTAGTTAGTTAGTTAGTTAGTTAGTAGTTAGTTAGTTAGTTAGTTAGTTAGTTAGTTAGTTAGTTAGTTAGTTAGTTAGTTGGTTAGTTAGTTAGTTAGTTAGTTGGGTTAGTTAGTTAGGTTAGTTAGTTAGTTAGTTAGTTAGTTAGTTAGTTAGTTAGGGTTAGTTAGTTTAGTTAGTTAGTTAGTTAGTTAGTTAGTTAGTTAGGGTTAGTTAGTTAGTTAGTTAGTTAGTTAGTAGTTTAGTTTTAGTTTAGTTTAGTTTAGTTTAGTTTAGTTTAGTTTAGTTTAGTTTAGTTTAGTTTAGTTTTGTTTAGTTAATCAGCTAGTTAGCCAGTCAGTCAGTCAGTCGATTGGTTAGTCAGATAGTTGGTTAGTTAGCTAGTTAGTTAGTTAGTTAGTTAGTTAGTTAGTTAGTTAGTTAGTTAGTTAGTTAGTTAGTTAGTTAGTTAGTTAGTTAGTTAGTTAGTTAGTTAGTTGGTTGGTTGATTAGTTAGTAAGTTAGTTTGTTAGTTAGTTATTTAGTTGGTTAGGTTAGTTAGTTAGTTAGTTAGTTAGTTAGTTAGTTAGTTAGTTAGTTAGTTAGTTAGTTAGTTCGTTAGTTAGTTAGTTATTTCATTAGTTGATTAGTTAGTTAGTTGGTTAGTTAGTTAGTTAGTTAGTTAGTTAGTTAGTTAGTTAGTCAGTCAGTCAGTCAGTCAGTTAGTCAGTCAGTCAGTCAGTCAGTCAGTCAGTCAGTCAGTCAGTCAGTCAGTCAGTCAGTCAGTCAGTCAGTCAGTCAGTCAGTCAGTCAGTCAGTCAGTTAGTTAGTTAGTTAACTAGTTAGTTGGATAGTTAGTTAGTTAGTTAGTTAGTTATTTAGTTGGTTAGTTGGTTGGTTAGTTAGTTAGTTAGTTAGTTATTTAGTTGGTTAGTTAGTTAGTTAGTTAGTTAGTTAGGGTTAGTAGTTA